GTCCCTGTGCTTTGCTTAGTTTAGCTTGTTCTAAGTAGGTGCTTTAGACCACTGAGCCATCTCACCAGCCCAGGAGTTATTTTTTGAGACGGGATCTTGCTATGTAGTTCAGGCTGGCCTTGAGCTCACACAGATCCTCTGGCCTCTGCCTCCTGAGTGCTGGGATTACAGGTGCGAGCCACCACAGCCGACTGCACCATTTAGTCTATTCACTACATGAAATGTGGAATGTCCAAACTCAAAGATACCACGCGGCAGCTTTCCCAAACCTACAGTTGAAGTCCTAACCCACAGTGTGGCTATATTCAAAGACAAGGCTTTCAGGTAGTAACAGGTTAAATAAAGCCACGGGGGGGGGGGGCCTAATCCAGCAAGATTGGGGCCTGGCTGCCTAGCAGGAGGAAGGGTAGGGGTGCTCCCATGCTGAAGGCAAGGCAGCGGGAGGCGGCTGACGCCTGACCTCCGACCTCTGGCGCCTGCCATGGTGCAGAACCAGCTTGACTGCTTAGGTCACCCAGTCCGCGATACCCCGTCATGGTCAACCCAACATGACCAGCGCATACCGCGGGAGCTTGACACAGTATTTGTGGAACGTCAGTAGGAAACAAGAAGTGAGAGCCTCCAAAAATCTATTATTGGGGCTGGCGAGATAGCTCAGCGGACCAAAGCGCCTGCTTAGGCAAGCTTAAGCAAGCTCGGGGACCAAGATTGCATCCCCCCATACCACACACCATGCCAGTCCCACCCCCAAGGCGGGCTGAGCCAGCCATAGAGTCTAAGTGTAGCAGCGCACCCCTATAATCCCAGCATTGGGGAGGCTGAAACCAGGAGGATCACTATGAGTCCGAGCTGCACAGTAAAACCCTGTAACAACCAAATACATTTTTAAAAAATCTATTATTTCATAAAAACACTAAGCCCATGGGCAGCAATCATTAAATTCAACTTTTGGGGGCCAAGGAGATAGCTCAGTAGAATATGCACCTGCCTGCAAGTCCAGGGTCATGAGTGCAATCCCCAGTACTGAAAAATAAAATAAAATAAAATAAAAAACATAAAAAAATAAATTCAAGTTTTCCAGAACTCTAGAAATTAAATAAAAATTTGCAGCAAATCAAAAAGGATTTATTCAAGAAAAACACTGATGATAAAGCACTCAGACACCATGAAATCTCAACCAGGCAAGGTTTTACTTATGCAGAAGGGTGTGGGCACAGTCTAGCGTGAGACAGCAGGCGCACCTAGAGGCACCGCAGGCCCTTTTTACTCCTACTGGGTGAGAAGCAGCGGGCCTCTCACCCGTCAGCGGGCTTCAAGGTTCCTGTTCTATCCCAACTGGCTAGTTTAAGCAGTGCAAAGAGAGGACCTGAGGGGTTGCTGAGCAGGGTTGGGAAGCAGAAGGAACCGCTGCGTTCCTGGAATGCAAACTAACATTTTTCCTAATTTATGTGTGCTGCAAGAGAAAAAGCAGAGGGCGCTAGAGTGAATCAGAGTTCAAGATGGGGACACAGCTCTTGTTCACAGTTCAGACAGAAAAGACAGAACTGGGGCTTCTCACATCCGGTACCAAGGAGGAAAAGGCGGGAAGGAGGGAAAGCAAAACAGCTGACTACCTGTATGTCCAGCGCACACTGGGCCACTGGAACCGGCCTATTTCTGTCCCCATGAGCACAGAAACCAGCTTGATCCCACTTCCTGCCAGGGAATCTCCGTGAGGGGTTGTGCAAACACTTCCGTAGACCTTCCTCCTTGGGAAAGTCCCAGAAGAGGAATCGGACAAAGTAGACTTGTTAAGTATCTAATCTTTTAATTTAGAATGACATCTGTGAGATGTAGTATTGTTGTATTTACTGCTACTTTGTTCTTTTTCACCCTGTCTAGGATCCCACTGAACATCAGAAAGGGTAGGGGATTTAGCTCAGTGACACTGCACCTGCTGACAAGTGCAGGTTCATGAATTTGAGTCCTGGTACAAAAAAAAAAAAAA